GTTGACTTTCTAGTGAGAATTCGCCCTTTAAGACCATCGATCGATTTCATGCGCATGACTACCTTTTCGCATCAAAGTAGTGTAATGTCATACTACGTAGATTTCAAGAATCAGTTCTTGAACTCACCTTCTGGTTCTAGGAGAGGTTTTTTCATACTGAAAAACTCAGTCGGATCAAAGGAAGGTGGTCCCCATGGCTCAGGTGTACTTTGGTCAAGGAAAAACTCTTCCGGAGTCTGGAACTTGAGGCCAACGTTCGCGGCAAAGAACCTGTCGGCGCACGAGTGATCCTTTTTAGGGCGAGTCTATAAAATTCTAAATGCGATACTAACGGAATTCAACATTCGACGATGGCACTCAAAGTGTATATACCTTGGTTTTATGTCTACCAGCTGCATCTCCCACATACAACGACTTGGCAACATCGATAGCAATATCACCATTCGCTTCCTCCAACTCCTTCCACATGCCGGTACAAGGTTTTCGATAATGTCCTTCGCCGAGCGCGACAAATGCCTATAATACGACACTTCGACAGGTCGAAAAAGGAGGTGAAGCAAACGATGGCACCTGAGCTGGAACTCCTAGCTTCGCAACTATAGCTTCCACTTTGCGTTTGAAACCATTTTTATCTACCTTGCCCACCTGAAACATGAAATGAAGGCTTAGATATCGATCTTGTGTTAACTAGGGTACATTTTATGTGGTACATGTGCCACATGTGAACCACCAGGACGCGAAAGGGATAAAAAATCTAGTTGAATGATGAAATAGATGGCGCAGTATCCGACCACCGTTATTTCAAAAATATTTAGGTAAGATGGTATCGGAGCCGCGTCCACGCGGCAATGCGATCTTGCAGTAGCTCAGTAAGAACGCTGTGACCGAAGGCGAGTGCTCCTCCAAATGGCAAAAGAAGTCATGAATATACTGTGATCAATACCAAGGGATTGAGGAATTAACAACTTCAATGCTGACGTCTCTGTAAAATCCTGAATGTCTCGCCTGATCGGAGAATACCGAAAATGAGCTTGTAAGGATGTGGTTCGCAAGGACAGAAACACGACTCTCGTGGTTTTTGCAGCGAAAAACTTTTTTTTCTCTGTGGGAAACCCAGGTCCATCACCGATCACGGTAGATATGGGATTCCCACAGCAAAAAAGTGTCGAGCTGCCAGCAAAAAGTCGTTCTTTGTCCTAGTGAACCACACTCAGATCGTGAACGTCTGCTCAGAAAGGTTTAGAACAGAATATACAGACAATGACGCCTTTCTTGAAACGTTCTATAGAACGTTGTGAGTGCGGTCATAGAACTCTGCAAGGAACACCACAATTTTGCGTAGCAGACAGAAGTCACCTTAATGCCCTTTCTGATTTGTGAAGATGACAATCTTGAAGTTTTCTTCGTTATGTAGTTTCTTCAAATGTGGCGCAACCTTGTCATAAATTATCCTCCAGTCGGAATTGTCCACGGGAAATACCTTACCAGACTTCGTCGTGATTAACGTGCCATCTGTAAAAAATGATCGAAGAATATGAAAATTAGCTGAATCCTCGTAAGCTGTTCCTACCCATATCAAAAGCGGCCACCTTTGCACGAGGTTCACAATCTTTGTGAGTGAAAATAAGGATTTCATCGGCATGCTTTCCTTCCCAAGTTCCTACATTTTCCTTCGGTTGACCGAACATATCTGCAAAAAAGAAGACGAAAGATAAACTTTGGTATAGCCGTTAAAGAAGCACCAAATGATCGGATGGACTTCGCGCAATGGCTGCACTTTCGAATACAGTGCTCACTTCATAGCCAGAGGACCAGTGTTAAAATTATGAAAAGCGGATGCGGTGTGCAAAACAAACTACTGTATTAGCCGGAGAAATACTGAGCCACGGGTCGACGAAAACTGGCCAATACGATTACTACCTCCAAATTAGGTCCCACAACTCACCGGTACTACTCCAACCCCAACCGAAATATACAAGCCCTTCCTCAAAGAGAACGGCGAAGGAAGTAATCCAGCAAAAAACCAGAAGTCTGACAATATCACCGAAGTTTTACAGTTATCTTACAAAGAAAGACTGGTAAATCTTCTACAATCTCTGAGCCCTGAACAAGTCCAACACACATTTCCGAAAAGACCGGTTCACCTAACACAGCCACCCACTCATAGCAAGCTCCATTCCATGAAAGATTCACCGAACTTGCCACGAGAAGTGAACAGTGATCGTTTCTAACCTTCGTGATTGAAAAATAAACTCAAAAAATAATGGATCACAAGGTGTTACTTTCAAAGAAACCAAATCAGAGAGCGTTAGCCGATAAATCAAATTCTATATGTAATTGGCGCTTACCGACATCTCGGTCTTTCACCTTCCCTTCGGCTGTTCTCTTCATAGTGTGGAGCAGACGACCCGCTCTCAAAACCACTCGTAAAGGAATTATCACCTCTGATGCTGTTCTTCATTTGCCCAGAACCCAATGTAAAACAGGTAGTTCCGTGGAACAGAAAGTACATGCAAAGTACATGCAACAGTGTATTATTGAGAACACAACATATACTAAACAATTTATTCATCAACTCTAAGTAAAAAATAGTAATATACAGATAGCATCACTACGATCTATTTATGTAATCTGACGAGAATGGAATATTCACTTCTTCGCGCCTCTCAACAAAGCTCGCTTTCCTTGTCCAATCGGTGGTCTTACCACTTTACCTCGCAAAATTTTCAACTCATCTTGTACCTAAAACAATTGCTTAAAACATTCGAAGTTGCAAAAATCCTTGATTTGAATTACCTCTGATCATATTACCTCTCTAATTGCTAACCGAAAGAACTGAAGCCCTGTATGCGTTTAAACTGTGGTGAAAACTTTCTTATATACCAAAACCATGCAAAGAAGGTGAACAGTCATGAGAAGGAGCGAGGTTGGTAGAGGACAGACTTCGGGTTATGACACGCTATATGTGTCTTCGTTGCGAAATCGCTCAGAATGAAGAACAGAACGAATGACGTGTCCACTTGAAGCACGGCGTCTTCTTAGCTCATTGAACAGATAAGATAAAATAAAACCAACACCGCAGCGGCTTCCAGCTTTTGGACACGCCTTCATTCAAAGTTGAAAAGAGGGGAACTTTGAAATCAGAAGAAAGACAAGAAAATATGGAACAGCTTGTCTATTTCTCTAAAGACACCAAATACCAGAATTAGATGAAAAAGGTCTGCTGTAGAATTCAAGGTGAGGAGCGTACAGAGGTTTCCCGACCTATCCTACGCTTCCTACTTTCAATGATTACAAAGCCAGACAACTAGCCGAAATCATCTTGTTGAAAAAGCTTTTTGGTTGGATTTTCTTCTAATCACTGCAAGTGGGGTATGCAATACCCAGCGGAGGCTCGCCGAGAGGGGTCATGTCGCTTACCATCGCATCATTTGTGTGATTTTGTTATGGAACTTCAATCCCTTACATTCGAAAAATTTCAATTCCATGGAATACACTTTCTTACACCTCAGAGGATTTTGAACTAGTCCAGGCAAGTGAATGGACTTTAAAAGAAATCCCACCTGTCGAAATACAACATGCTCGTCGAACAAAAGACCATGGAATCGAAGCATCTTGGTCAGGTAGTGGAACATAGGTAAATTGGGGTAATATTTTACCGAAAGTTGCTCCTTGGTTTCATACGGTTCTGCAGACATGATTCGAACAACCTAAAAAGTAGAGTTTGAAGTTCTCACAACAGTTCAGGTGAAGGTAAATAAACAATGGCAAATTTAGAAGCGTTTTTCATGTGCTACATGTTTGTTACATTGGTCCACAAGTGCAAAACAAACAAGTCCCATATTCGTTTAAGGTGTACCTTCATAGTATGCAGATTGCTTTATAATAAGTAAACTCGATGAAAATTACAAGAACGATCACAATGGGAAGAAAATCTCGAGACTTTCTAAGCCTATCCAGCTCAGCAACATTCTCGTGTCTCCCTTTTGCTTCCCCTCAGGCGAAACCAAATTAACCGAACAATTTGGAAAGATCATTCTCAAAGTCTGGTAGTCCACATACCTTCATGCTCTTGTTGTCAGTAGCTCGAACAACCTCCCCAAAAATCCTCTTACTAAGCCGATCCATTCTTTTTCCGAAAGGTGTTACGTTTCCTATTCCTCTGCCGACATGAGCAATGCGGGATGCCGCAATCCGAGACATCCCTTATCGCTTGAAACTGAAAAGCACCAAGTATTCACATTATTCTAAATAAAGAGTATTTCGAACAATGAGACGATTGAGTTGGCAAGTGATGTTACCGCCTCATAAGAGTAAAGTTGAAACTGAATCAAAAAGCAAAGTACATACTAGTACCGGTTAAACAAAGACGCCACTAATGATTTTCCAGTACTTGCTCTTGATTCAACACCAAGTTAACTCGATTTCTGCAGTGAATTGTAGAACCAATTTATTGACATGAAAATATGAGCAAAGGAGCAAAACCCATGGTCATCACCATAATTGTAAAAACTACAAAAGCTTGACATCCTGGCAATTCATAAACAGCTTTTGCAAGAGATCATTAAATGCCGCCAGTTGTAATTAATGAAAACATGAAATCAATCAAATCAGACAGTCAAAAAACGTGAGAGGAGAGGTAAGTGGAAGGGTACAAACAAATGATTTAAGTTCTCTTAGTGAAGAAATTATTAATAGACTTTGTGCCCTTGCTAGCTTGTTGCAGCTTCTTCATTATTATCGACTCTTTCGGCTTCTGTAATACAGTCTTCTGACATTGAAACAAATGCACTGAGCTCATGTGAGTTGAGCTGGCTAGTGAGATGTAAACTCTCAACCTCCAGCTCACCCGCTCTTTGCGCTGCTGTGCAGGTATAAAACAACTGTAGAAAACCTACCTTAGCCGGTTTCTGGAACGATATCTTCATAAGGATTCCTCAGCTTTTCTTTTCATTGACATATCTACGCGTTCATTCTCATTATTAGCAGGATCTTGTATTGAGAGATGTGCCTTTGCCAGTGCAGTCAATTCAGGATTCATGTAGTCAGACAATAAGCCGAAGGAGTACCGATCAAGCACCTCACCTACGAGAAAAATTGCGAGTTGGTGAGCTTAGCTAAAGGAGGAAATAACTCAACTGTAATCGAAAAGTAAAACTAAAAAAGATACACCAACTGTTTGAAGTAATTAACTTGTGTAGACTGCCTTCCTCCACAAGAGCATCTCTAAGCCGCTGAAAACGAAAAGCAATCCATTCAAGAGCTTTGCTCTCATTAAAACGGAACACCTTTGCGTCGCAAACTTCTGAAATATGCCAATGATGTCTTGCCAGTAAGGCGTCAATTATCAAATTCTGACCTTTTGAATCACAAATATTATCAACGTTTTTCAAAAACTGCTCATTTTTCATAAGTAGCCCTATAGCGGGATATTCAGGATCACAAATAATCTCATCAAGCTCCTTGAACACCTTCTGGAATAATGAATTTTGTGTTTTGGACAAAAGAACATGAACCTGTGAGAAAAGATACATACCTTTGAATTCATGAAGTAGGGTATGGCAAGAAATAACGGATGTATGGGAGAAAACAATCGAATTAACCCGTCTGACACAACACTGTCACCGTAGAACCATGACCGAAAAGAATCGCCAACACTAACAATCTAAAAAGGAGTGATCATAACTCATAAACAGGAAATCTGCGGTTTTATCGGGGTCTCGAAAATTCGTGTTGATTTTGGACTTTTTCAAGTTAAATTTATGTCAAAACAAGCACTGTCTATCCATATGCACCATCGCTCCAGTGATTCTGCCAATGAGCATCAAAGAGAATCCCTCACCCATAGAGGCCGGCGGTTTCGAGCGAAAAAGGCAAGGAGGTCGAATTCGAGGGATCGTTGGGAAATGCACTTTTTGTCAGTCCAGGTGACTGCTGAGCAAGCAAAACAGATGGATTCCCGGGAGATTACAGTCAGCGCAGCGCTGAGGATGAAGTCAAGAGTTCTCAACTGAGTCTCAGAAATCTACAGTTGCGCCATCTTCGAAATGGTCTCGACCTTATGAAGAATATGCACATTTTCGAATTGTGCGGATAGCTTGGAGTTTCACCACCAGTCTTCTCCATTGATCACAGCAGACGGAGCGCCTTCATTGCTGTAGTGAAGGAGATGTTCCCAGTGGGTAAAGGAACAACTCGGGATCGAGTTGGGGTATTTTGGCGTTTGGAAGTGAGTGCAGAGATGCGAAATGGAACCCAGTAAGAAAAAAGGGAGGAAGCCGTGGACAAGACCGAAATAAAAGTTCTCTCCCCAACGCAGGGAAGGAGCTGGCTTAGGAGGAATGCATGTGAGAACGAGTTTTCACTTGCCAACCATTGCTGGCTCAGTGAAAGCAGCTGATGCAGCAATCAACCCCGCTGATTTCACGCCTCGTGCCAGGCCACGCACCAATTCCGGCAGTAGGCGAGGTCATTTAGCTAACTTAGTCTAAAATGATTAGGCAGGGTTTATGCCGACACAGGTTCAGGTCACAGGAGAATGGATACCCTGCACGATTGCGAAGACCAAACATAGATAGGACATGAGCTGATTCTTTGATCGACCTAATCGACTTGCATTCAAACAGGAACATCCAGCCCAGAAGCATGATTTGGCAAGGCATTTCCCGACGTGACATGAGTTCTAGTCTGCATCTCGCATGGTGTAATTGGTTTATCCTAGGAGTCCTGGCCGGTTAAGTGATATTTACACGGAGGTGATACAGTAGTTTTCGACGAGTTGCTTAGGGGAGGGCAAAGCTGGTCCAAATCGGACTCAAGGTATAGGTCCAGAGCAAAGGGATCGACCATTCTGCACCACAGGGTCAAGCGAGGCGTCGAGGAAAATTCGGAAATACGACCCCCCCCCTCTGCCGAAGGCCGAAGTCCATGAAACAACCCTCTTTAAAAGCCGAACTATGAAAAAGTTGTTTAATTCTCCACCAAAACTGCTCATAAAAAAGCCCTGCTACCCCATCGTCCACAAAAAAACTCGTTTAAAAAGTATAAAAGTGAAAAAGTCAAAGAATGATCATTAATGACGAGTCCTGTCAAACGAGCAAACGAGAAACGGAGCAAAAAACGTCAAACTAGTCACTAGAAATGGCGTACTATGACAACACCTCTTCTTTGTTTATTTCCTCCACAAGACTTACCAAATTCTAGTACTACACAGATTATGGTTCTCAATTTACACGTCCCCCTTTCGCTCAAAGGAAGCCTTGTAAAAGCCTTCGCCAGCTGTGTGTTGACTGGACTTTGGCGTTGACCGTGGAGCAGCTTATTTACTATTGAAATTTGAACAAATATTCAAATGATTATAACTTTCTTCAAAGTTAACGAATTTTCAATCTGAAAGCTGATTTGGGAGTTTTGTGAAGAGCTTTTTCTAATCAGTACTGAAATTACAGGAAGTTATAAGAAATAACAAATTTAGATCAAATAACGAGGAAAATTCGAGACGAGCACGAGTTTTTACACTTTCCGGAGCAATAACTTGCTTCATTTCCGTCAAATTCAAAAAGTTGATACGTCATACAAAACTAGAAGATTTTCTCTATCAAACGGTCGCTAAAGCAGCTTCATACGTCCAGTACTCAAAAAATGGCCACGTTGAGGATTTTTGCAAAATTAACGAGGAAAATTCGTGATGAGTGCGAGTTTTTACGCTTTCCAAAGCCATAACTCCGTTCAAACTCATGCAATCTGGAAAGTTAATACGTCATCATAAACTAGAAGATTTGCTCTTTCTATTTACTAATGCTAATACGTTCACTATTTAAAAAATGGCCACGTTGAGGATTTTTGCCCGAGTACCGCCGAAAGGTACTTTTTCGCTACATTAGCACTATCCCAACGACTATAGCTCCTTGCAGGAGCGATTACATACTGAAGTAGGAGCAGATTCAAAATCCTCGTGCTTTTCTCTCTGCAAAAAGTGTAAAATTGTTTAGCGGGTCTCAACTTTAAAGGTTACATGCTTGTGAATTTGACGCTGAAGGCTGCGTTTCTTGTTGAATAGTGTACTCCTCTCTGTAATTTAACATGAACTCTTTCAGAACCCTCTTGATTCTTCCTGAATTAAGATTCGTTATCAAGATAGCCGTAGCTGAAGCGCGCGCAACCAACTGGGCCCACTCTGGGATGCGCCGTGTGCTTCACATCTCGTTGGATTTGAGGACCTACTTGAAAGATAAAATATCCCTAGAAAACGTGCGAATTTCGGATCCTTTGACTTGTGTGGTGATGAAACACTAAAGTCACTAAGAATTGCTAAGCGGACACCTCTAAATCACGAAGATTTTGTGTGGACGGAATCAATTGTTATTGGAAATACTCTGGCCTGGTATCGATTCGATCCTTAATGTTTGTCCTCCGACGATGATCCTACTGTGTATCATAGGGCCCGATCTTCCGGGGCAATACGACCCCCCCTCGTGAATGCGGGATGTCCTAACGCACGCGTTGACCCTGAATTGCCATGCATGATAGGTGGCGAGTTAGGAAGCTTTCGCGGATTGCAGAGCCAATACAAAGAAAAGCGTGCGAACATGATCTCTCATTTCCCCTTTCAATTCAAGACAAAAAGGGTGGGTATTATAATTTACTATGTAAATTATGAACGAAGTAAGGCTACTCGCAGCTCACCAAAGCTAATTAAAAAATCTTTCGAAAAAATGATACGAGATAAAAAAATGCACACGAAATTTAGAGACACCCTAATACTAAATAAGCAAAATGTCACAAGGAAAGGGCTCCACTCGCTGGGAGCTTTCACCTTTTTTTAAGCACAACAGAGCCTTCATTCTTTGAGGCAATTTCCTGCCCCTCTCGTCTGGTGAGAGGGGGCGTACTGTTCGAATAAGTATGCATGAGTAAATCGCATGAATGCTGCAGTATAAACAAAAACTAAGTTGGAGGTCTTGGCTAATGAAGATCACGGAAGAACAACCATACCTCTTCACAGTACTTTTCACTAATCCTGTACAGACAAGGAGAGCGGTTTTTTGGATGGCGGACATGGTAGAGGCGACTATTTGGAAGGGAATTTTCTGTAATTTGAAGCATAACTGAGATACTTCCTCATTATCACCTTCAAAATAACCTTTAGCAATGATAAATTTTCTCTCATAGCTTGCATCAGATGACGGCGGTCCCCTGGCTGGGATGTCAGCTACTACTAAGTCACTGGATATGTCATTATCACTTTTTACAGTTGCTCTAGTCTGTCGCACCATCTGAGTGAAAAAATTCCTTATACAATTCAAGTTTGGTACAAAACGCTGCAGAAAGCAGTGTCAAAATGTCACAGTTCAAACTATGTATGGATACTGTTCTGAATCAGTTACCAAACAAACAGATGGGGAAAAACTCCACTTTTACTTCTGCGAAGAATCCCAAGTTCATAATACGTGAAAACAGAGATAAACGGATTTCTCTCATATGTACATCAAGAATTCGGAAGCGATAAATCCAAATGAAAAACAATCACAGCAGCAAACTCCATTCCAAAATTCGGGCATTCTAATAATAGAATGACTAGGCGTAATAGGAAGATTAAAACGATCGGAGAAGAGCCTAAGCATTTGAGTAATATATGAAAGCCATTCTTGGAACGATCCCAGAGAGGATAAGAAAAATACTGGTTTTCCCACCATCAGAAACTAGAAAACGGTACAAGGAATAACTCCAAATAAGAAACTCTGAATGCTACATGCAAATACTTATTTTAAAACGTCAAAAACAACTTTCTGCACAGTACAAATACAAGAACTAAAACAATCCTCCTCCCTTTCCCCCTCCAGCTTTTTGAAGTTGAGCCATCATATTCTGCAAGCCACCCATGCCGCCCATTTGTTGTAATACACGAGGATCCATCATCTTAGCCATCTGCTGGTTCAGCTTCATCATCTGCGCAGGGTTGACGTTCTTGGGATTGATATCGCCATTCTTCCCCTAAACCAAGTTATCTCATCGGGATATAATAAAGCACACATAGTAGAAGTGAATGCAAAATTAAAAGGATAGTTAGTCCAAAGGGTCAAAATGCTGACCGAATTATCGTTTCGCATTAAAATAACGAATACTGAAAACAAAAAGAAACGATGAAACGAAGAACAAAGAAACGTACAGAGAACAGCCCTTTGATTGATCCCATCTTTTTAACCATGTCAGCGAACTTTTTGTACTGACTGAGCAAATCTCGGACCTTAACTCGAACTTTTCAGTTATCATATGACGGTGAGAACCAGAAAAAAATGTCAACTTACATCAGCCTGCGTGGTGCCAGACCCCCTTGCTACACGGACAACGCGACCTGGTTCTTTCGTAAAAAGTTCCGATGCCTTTGGATGGTCCAATTCTGAAAAGAATTTGCAGAATCAGGTCTTGCGAATAATAAGTATAGAAATGTACCTGTATCGCTCATGGAATCCATTATAGTCA